TATATATATAGTAACTTATTAAAGATTTTCTTTTGTTATATCTTTCAGCAAGGGTGAAACTCAAAAAAAAAAGTCAATGTGATTCAATATTTCAAACTGATTTGTTCAACAGCAGAATTCATCTCATCAAGATTCTTAGTTTAGCTTGCTACCATTGACAAGAAAAGGCATGATTATGGACAGTTGCTGCTTTAGTATACAAAGTGTGCTGGTTTATGCATGCCTGTGACATGAAAGGTTCTTGAATATTGATATGATAAACTTTAGTGATGTTTAATGTAATAGGCCTACATTATGGACAAAAATGCTGATTAACAAGACTGTAAAGCCAAGGAATCTAGAATAAGCTTGAATTTTAGGTACAGTATGTGTAGCAGCAAGACAAACGATATGTGAAGGTGTATGCAAGTGAATGAGACTCTAGGGGAATAATGTCCCAACCACAGGATGTTTGTTGATGTTTTTTTAATTAAAGAATTTATGGTTTGTATATCTTAAACTCTGTATTTTGTAAGCCTACAGGAATTTGATTAGAGCCATTGTTATTTTACAAAAAGGAGCTGAGACCAATTGAAGACCATTTGAAACTTTCACAAATTTAAGACAAGTTGGAACTGGGACCAATTGCAGACCAGTTGCAACTGGGACCAATTGAAGACCAGTTGGGACTGGAACCAATTAAAGACCAGTTGGGACTGGGACCAATTGAAACCAGTTGGAACTGGGACCAGTTGAAGACCAGCTGAAAGTGTCCAAAATCCAACTGGTTACAGTTCCAACTGGTCCAACTGGAATTTTTAACTGGGACCAGTTGGAAGTGTCCAATTTCCGTGACGGAAAATTACCAGTTCAACCGAGTTAAACCTAGTTCAACTGGGATCAACTGGAATTTAGACCTGGGTATAATATAATAATGTTATTACTTCAAGTAGCCTAACTAGGTCTAAGGCCCTCTGCCTAGTGTGTGCAGGTTTGTGTGTAAAATTAATATTATTTTTTTATTTAGAGCAGCTTAGGTCCACAATGCTACACTGTAGGCCTGGCTTTAAATAATACAACATATACTGGGCCTATATGCCTAGGCTAGGCCAAGGCCTTGTTCATTTCTTATAATTAAAATAGTATAAATAATAATGAATATTAAAAAGTAGCATACTATAGATGATACAATTAAATATTTATACAACAAACAATACATTAGTTAGATAGACCTGTCACGCCAAAATTGGTCCGGGCTAAACTCAGTCCGGGGGACCGATCTTGGCCGCTAAAATTTATCCGGGGGACCAATTTTCGCTGGCCAAAATCAGTCCTCCTTGGATAATATTGGTCCGGCCAGGACACTGCTTAGCCTAAATCGTTCCGCCTACACCTGCTACAGTGCTCATTATACGAGTTCGGTACTCAACCAATTACAGCACAGTGAGTGCTTACTTATCGGTCCGCATTGATTTTTTTGAGGGAAAAGCTTTTTGGTGGGAAAATTGAAATGAGCGACCAATCACTATAATAATAATAATAATTATTATTATTATTAATCACTATAAATGTGATAGCGTTCAATCTGAAGCCTATTTTGCATATATCACCTTAGTATTAGCACAGATCCTATATACAACAATAAACTATACAAAATGTATATAGGATATGTGTGAACAGACGGATTTCACAGAATCACAGCTGACTTTATTCAATTGGAAAGAAGCTCTTTTGGTTAGTATAAAAATTGGGGAACAGAAAAGGCAGACGTGCTAACTTCAATTTTACTGTCCGCAGATATGTTCTGCTTTTTACTTTAATCATATTCTTAACTTACATATGTTCATTGCATAATTGCTGTTTACTTTTGGATGTTTGAAAAAAATACAATAGGCCTATATATACTAAATTCCAATACTGTAAATGCAGATCTTAAACTGTTATATAGGGTGATGTATGCAAATTCAGGTTTCAGCTATGGACATCATTGTGATTGGCTAGATAAGCATATGCGCGTCTGCAAAAGCTTAGGAATCGTTCTTTCCGCCAAAATCTGCTGCGGATGTAAGATGCCCAAGTGTGCTGAGCACAGCAAAGTAAATTTCAGCGGACTGATTTTGGCTTATGTGGACTACATTTGGCAAGTAATTGTGATGCCAAAATCAGTCCGCCAGACCGATTTTTGCCCCGGACCAATTTTTTCCTGACAGACCCATATCTGCAAACTATGTACAGTAGACACTTATTAGGCCTAGACTTCAATAAAAATATCATAAATCATAGATGTGTGTTTTACAGTTGGGTATAAATTTTTTTTTAATAATTGATAATACAGTAATGTGCTGTAGCAAAAACGTTGACAAGTTGATGCTCAATAACTTTAAGCTGAACACTTGCTGCGGAAAATGTTTGAAAAAACATGTTGTAAACCCACTGTCCAGAAGTTCTACAGTAAATATCTGTCACGCACTATAAAAAAGGGATTTTCTATCAGATTACGATAATACGCACTACTGTACAGTATATGCCACATAACTGAAGTTTTTTATTTTATTCTGTTTATTGGCGAGTACCAAATTGAATAGTAATAGCAATTGTTTTATATCTTATTTATCTGTATTTATATGTTATTTGAGTAAGTAAAATGGATGAGCGGTTAAGGCAAGGGCACCACCGTAATCATAGCCAACAATATCGGAATGGGTTTGCGGCCGGCTCGCTCCTATAGTTTGGTGGTGGAACAAGTCTTCTTGGGTAAGGACTATAAACAGTAGGCCCAGTGTACACAAATGCTCGTGCACTTTAAAGAACCCAGTACATCTTTCAAGACGAGTAGAGGGTTACCCTGGTGCACTGGTTCACTCAGCCCCTGTCGTGGACAGATGAAAGTGCGCCGGTTTGCTGGCTGCAGAGGACATAAAGTGACCCTCAGGGGAGAAAAAAGTCATTGAAAAGTGAAACATCTAGTCCACTACGCCTTTGATAAATCTTTGAATTGGTGCATTATAAATGTTTGTTATTATTATTATTATTATATCAAAATAAGTTTGACATTTATATTATAAACGGTATTTGAAATAATGTTGAACGAAAAAGAAAATTGCAGATGTATGATCTATGTAACAAAGGCATAGTAATTTTCAAAATTAATATACTGTATGTACTGTATATGTACTGTAAACAATTTACTTTCCATTAGCTTTCAGAAACTATGGGGAAACGAAAGAGAAGTAGGTGCATAGGAGCTAAAAGAAAGAAAGGTGCACTATACAAGTCTCGGCATCAAAAACCACAATTGTATTCTACTCCACACTTTGACCACACGTATGCTGTTGATCCTAATGTTGATTCATTTGCATCAGCAAGTAACTGCTTTAGTAACATTATACCAGACTGTAATTTTGAAGAGGATTTTAACTACTGCGGCTGTGTTGTTCAGTACCAGGATGAACATTACACACAAGACTTGGTGAGTTTCAGTTGCAATATTAAAGATAAATTTTTTTTTTTTTCAAATGAATACACC